GTACACAACACGTGGATGCACACACACTCGGCCGCAGAATGCACGTGAATAACACATGCATGCGCACACACTCGGCTGCATGGAGGCGTGCGCCATCTGCGGCGACGTCCGGTTCGTCGTGCTACGGTGAAGCTCGCACACAACGGCGCCTACGCATCTCTTGCAGCACCTCTTTGCCGTCGTTGCTCAACGACTAGTCGGAGACGAAGACGACCACAGCCTCGGCCTTAGAGCTAGCACCGATGGAAAAACACGCACGTTGCACGCACACGAGCATGTACGGAGTGCCCATGACGTGGTGCGTCCCCAGTCGCCTCTACTCCTTCTACGCATGTTGTCTATCAAGGCGGCTGCATGCCTAATGATGATGTGGGTGAGATCTTCTAGGACTCAGATGATGACGAGGAAAATTATGAGACACAAGGTGACGTACACTGTCAAGGTCCACAGTCAAGGGGGTGCTAAGTGCTAAGTGCTTAGATGTGCTTAGATGAGGTGCTAAGTGCATTAAATGGCTTAGTAACTCAAGTCTTCAATGCATAGGTGCTTAATTTATTGTTGCTAAGCTTGCTTCATTTAATTAGCTATAGACTCAAAACTGTCTTTCCATCGTTTCTGCCTGCGGTCACCAGCAAGCATGATACGTTCAAACAAAAATATGTTCCAATGTAAAAAATTGATATGTACAATATGCCATTTCTATTTCTTGAGAATGACGTCAGGATAATGAAGTTATGTTTGCAAAGTACTTTCTTCATTAGGTTTCTTTACGTGCATACTGAACCTTCTATTTTATATACCGTGGCCATAAAACACCATGTCATCTTATGGGAGGTCACAAAAATCTTTCCAGTTCTTAGAATTATATCAAACACATCAGATTATTTTATTCATTACCTGGAAGCGAACCATCTCTATTCAAAACTGAACCTTTTATTAGTTGATTGGTACCAATTTGTCTCTATTATTTTTAGTTTCTTATGATCCCTCCTCATGCCTTCTCTGCAGTATGATCAAAATTAATGTTTGGAGGGTGACGGTCTTAATATATTGTTGATGGCCAATGTTTGCGACCATTTCTGTGCAACCCCTTGCTTTAAAATTATGTACCTTTGTCATTTATTTTGGATATGTTGTTCTTTCTTACACATCACTCTGATTTGTATGGTTGTGGTGCAAGGCTGCGGGCTAGACCAAGAGGGCGAGACTGGGGAGGCTGAGTAGGAGACCAGATAGCGGTGATGTCGAGGTGGAAGTAGCCATGATCCCTGGAGATGTTCCTCAAGGTTAGTCTCCTTGTGTTTTCACATACTAAATAAGGTATACAATTTATTCATTTTTCATTTAGGATTTTATGGGTGGTAACTGCTACACTTCATTTTTCTGTACACAATGATTCCTTTTTGTTATTTCCTTTTGAATGCTTAGCGAATAACTATTTCATTCATGTGGAACTCAAAATTTGATAGTGCCAACCTCAAAGAGATAGTGGTGGATGTATATAACTCATGTTTTGGCAAATAGCTAAATTCCTTATATTCTATTATTTCTTTCTTATTGTCTTTCCTACTTATGGTTCCTGAACTGAACTTTTATCCTTCTCTGCAAAAAATAGAAGAGCAAATGATGGCTTGGATGACAAGGTGTTTTAACATGGCTATCTATTGTATAGTCAACTATATAGACTATGCCGTATAAAAGACTGTAAACAACTTATCTGAGACTACCACTATGGCCTGCTTTTGATATATTGTACACCGTTTCATAGTGTAATCAAGTTTTTTAGTACTCTGGCATCTTCCATTTGTCCTCTTTTTTTAACATATGGGCCTCTATTTGATCTGCATGGTATATGTAATTGAAATGGATGTGCAGAACAAACATCAGGAAACAGTAGTAACTGGCAGCTACTTCTGGGTACCAATTTTGCTTTTCTGAATTATTAGATTCCTTTTGTTCTCATAATAATTAGCTTGTGTTCAAATTGATTTGTCCCTGAGTATATGGTTATACTCTATGGCAGTCATCGTAATACTTTACGAGTTCCCCTTGGCCATTGTATCCTCTCCCTATTACTTTACAATCATCCTCGTCTTTTGTTTTAATCCCCCGAAACTAATACCTCATTTTTGTTTGTGTAGATTCATATTTATCTGTGCCTATATGGTGTTGCGTGAAAATGCAAGCGGGCCGCAAGGTGCTGGTGCTTGGATCTGGGTTGCACTGGTGATCCATCACTTCTCTCCACCATTCTCTTCACAATTATGGCCAATTGAGCCCAGAGGTACTCGCCGAACTCACATATTTAGGAAACCAAGCTGGATATCATTTGCTGTATAGATCATCACCTGATGTGCATATGGATATAGTAAATGTGTCATTATTGAGTTAGTTTCTCTGAATTGACCATGATGAGCATTTCACAAGTCACATCAAAATTTAAGCTGTCAGACTCAAAATAACAACTCAACAGTGTCTCTTTCCCCCATGTTGAAGAATCTTATATTTTTATCCAGCTAATGAATCTGCACGTCTGTATGGTTTCTAAATTTATGCAAAAACATTGCATAAGTACTTGCTCATACGGTAAGGGTACCCTGGACCGACGAGTCATATTTTTTGTGGAAAGCCACCTATCTATTTTCTTGTAGGATTTTGGTGCAGATAAGTTTACTCGGAAAAATTTAGGCAGCAAAAGAAAAAGGTAGGCATCCATGTACAGTAGATATTCGCATGCAACATGAAAGGAATAATCCTAAAAAGGGAAAGAAACATGGACTTGTGCCTAACCTATATGCTGCTTCCTGTACACTACACTATTGTTGTAAATTGTAATATGACTGAACATAGATTTTGTGAATAGATGTCCTATGTTTACATGGTACAGTATTGCGTGCTATTGAGTGTCCATTTGTTATTCTATGCTTTATTAGGTAAAATAACTTACTGAGATGTTCATTTATTTGAAATAATTAATAATGTTTGCTTCCTCATGTTAATAGACTATGCTTTTAAGACATAGTAGTTTGTTATTTGGTTGGTTTGATGTTCACGAGTGTAGTTCCTAAATCTCAACGAAACTTTTGGACTAACATCACCTATAACACAAAAGAGCACTAAATTTCATTTGTTGTGCAAGGCCTTTTTTTACCTGGTACTATTTTAATGTCACAGTTGCTATACCACCATTCTTGGCTATGACGCTCAGCTTCTTCTCGACAGTCAACATCCGACAAGTGGAGCACCCGACCATAGGAGACGGAAGAGGAGGCGAGCTATCCACAGTATTGTCCTCTCCCCGCGTAGCCACCTACGTACACTGTCCACAAGTTGTATCAACATCCATGTCCTCCACTTCCCCCGCCAGGTGGAAGCAGCACCATTGACATTCACGCTGCTTTCATCCTTTGCATCAAGAGTACGTCATCCTCATGTTGGCTCTGTGGGAGCCGATGGGATTACCATGACACATGCCAATGTTTTGATAGTTCAGCAAGTGGAAATTTCTGATGATGTGGTTATGTCATGTGCTAGCAGATATAAATATTTAGTGATATATGCTGGTTCAAGAAATTGACGTTTGCTTCAGCATGTGGCTAGGTTATGCTTTTAGGAGATAAATGTTCTTCTGTCATTTTAGTTTCAAGTGCTTTTGATTGATAATGTAAGGATGTGTACATATAGTAAAGTTTTCTATTACTAATTGGTTGAGTGATGCAAATTAGTGTTTTTGCTCTCGCTTTGTTGTGTACTGGGCTAAGTGCTGGACCTCAACTGTTCTATGGTCTTTATTTTTTCATTTTTCATGCAGTATAAGAAATACATGCAGTTCTTCGTCTAAGGTACTATTTCAAATTACTCAGATCGTTACTAAGACCCGTTTTGCTGCATTTTTTCCTTATTATTACTTTACCTTTACACTGGTTTAATTATCAGGCCTGCTTTATGCTATTTCTGTTCCAATATGAAATTTCAATTCAAAGGTTTGCTTCCGGATGTTCTAATTTGAAATTTGTTACCCTACTTTTGGTAGTACCTCCATGAGAAAGGAAGAAGTTTTAGTAATATGGTGTTTTTTGGGCCATGCTCTTTTAGTTTGCAATTTTTTTTATATTCCCACTCAAGGTTCACTTCCATCTCTTTAGAATTTTTTATGTTAACCATATAGAATATATCGGTTCTCTTGGATCATCGTTAGGACTTGCTTTTGTTATGTCATGTTGCCTTTCCTACTACATGCTCAAAGTGTTGTAGTGAACCAGACCGTTACTATTATAAGTGATTAGTTCCTTCGTTAGAGCCGCGGCTTCACTAGAATAGAGGCATTGTAGTTGTCTAAAATTTTCTTTGTCAGTTCATAGATAATAATTTGATATATGGTATTGTATTTAACTGATATCATGCAATTTTTTATATATGCGCTCCAATGACTGTGTTATCAGACTGTATATGACTATACCCGGCAGCGGTGCTGTCGGGTGCGGCAAGCTGCACTTCCTACCTAGTGAATAAGGATGGCCAATATGCTAGAGATGCCGCGGCCATTATCGATGATTGTTATCATCTGGCTTGCAAATTTAGCTCTATTGTCTTTGAATTTTGCCCCAGAGAGTCGAATGGGGTTGCACATGAACTAGCTAGGATTGCTAGAAGTTCGCTTAGTAATGAGTGGTCAGATAATGCTCCTTCTGAGCTTCTTCCCCTACTACTTAAAGATGTAAGTCTGATCACGAATGAATAAAGAGGAAGTAAAGTTGTCAAAAAAGGAGCGGTGGGGGTGGGCGGCGGTACAACCAATCCAAAAAAGTAGAGAGCCAAATCATTACGCTCGTGTCGACGGTAGAGGAGGAGCGGTGGGGGTGGGCGGCGACAAAAGAAACGAAGCTGATCTCCTATCCTCCTCCCTGATCCCCTTTTCCCCTCTCCTCTGTTCCTAACCCAAACCCTAGATCGGGCCTCCCCTCCCGAAACCCTCCCTCGCCTCCACCGAGGTGCCGACCATGCCGCATCTGCCGGACGACCTCGTGGAGGAGGTCTTCCTCCGCTTCCCGCCGGACGAGCCCGCGACGCTCCTGCGGGCCTCCCTCGCCACCGATCTATTCACCAGCCCCGCCTTCCGACAAAGCTACCGCGAGTTCCATGGCGCTCCCCCCATGATGGGCTTCTTCTTCGAGCGGCCCAGCTGCCTCAGAGGCGAGGAAGAAGACCCGCCCCTATGCTTCATATCAACCGCCAAGTTCAGCGCGTGCGTTCCACTCTTCCTCTCGTGCCGTACTTCTTCTTTTGGTGCGTTGGACTGCCGGCATGGCCGGGTTCTCCTCATGGACCACTCTGGTCCTGAGAAGCTCGTCGTTTGGGACCCCATGACGGGCAGCACTCGGGAGCTGATGGGCCCCAACAAAAACTTCGATATCAGCCAGGCCGCGGTGCTCTGCGCCATGAACGGCTGCGACCACCGCGCCTGTCACGGTGACCCCTTCAAGATCGTCTGCTTCACCATGGACAGGGAAGAGGGTGAGTGTTTTTCACTAGCGTACGTGTCATCACCGGAAATGGGCAACTAGAGCAAGCCGTCTAAAACTCTTGTTGAGAAGTATCATTACATCCATTCAGATCGTCGTGCTGTCCTCGTCAACGACGCACTTTACGTTCTGCTTGTTGACGTAGAAGGAATTCTGAAGTACAGCTTGAGCTCTTATGCTTTATCATGCATTGATGCGTCGGATGATGAGTTTGCCTTTTCTCCTGACGTTATCCTCATGGCAATGGAGGATGGCACTTTGGGCTTTGCAAGTGTGGACAGCATATTAACCCTCCACATGTGGTCGAGACAGATAGATTCCGAAGGAGGAGTTGCATCATGGACTCGTGGTAGAGTCGTGGATCTCAAGAATCATCTCCCTCTTGAAATGCCCAAGAGAGGACTTACACTGCTTGGATCTGTGGAGGGCAGTGATATCATTTTCGTGAACACAGAACTTGACGTCTGCGAGATTGATCTCAAGACACTAGATTGGAAGGTGCGACTGAAGGGAGACTTCTTCAGTGCATTGATTCCGTACATGAGTTTCTACTATCCTCCAGGTATATCTATATGCCTTTCTTCTTTTATGACCAGTCAACAATTCTTAAGTAGTAAGCATATATGAGTTAGCGGAATCATCAAAACATTAAGTGCCTAATCAGATTGGAAATTATATTTGAAATTTGCTCCAACAAATTTCTGAGTGCAATGTAATAATTGAAGGTTACAATTCACTATGCTGACTAATTGGCAATTAATATGGTATCATGTCATCTCCTCATTGGAATCACACTGATAAAACTATGTTTGCAGAAAGGAAGGCCAAATCCTGTCACAAGAAGGATGTTGGCCATGGCATTGGCTGATGAGGTGTCGCAGCAACCTACCCCAACCGTGGAGGACACCATGATAGCATATGACATGGCCTCAAGCTCAAAAGCTAGAAAGTTGACCCCGAAGAGAAGGAAGTACTAGTGTTGTGCTTGATCTTCTCTATGCTTTTGGTTGTAATATGACAAACTTAGCACCCTTTACTTTGGATGTAACATGGCAGCAACTATTGCGTTATGCTTTTGGTTGTAACATGGCAGTTACAATGGCCTTCTGCTTTTGGTTGTAGAACATGGCAGAAATTATGGCCTTATGGTAGATGGTGTATGAACATGTTAAATGCTTTATTTCGCTATATTGTCTTGATATTGTGTCGTGGTGTATGAATATGTTCATCTGGAAATATATGTTTGAATTTTCTGTTCTGTGCATACATATCTTGAGAAGTGAAATAACAGGCAAAATGCTGTCCAAATTGAGCCAATATGCTGTCCAAAATTTGAACTTTTTTTCGAACAACCCAGAAAAAAAATGAAAAAATCATAGTAAATCATTCATATATGTGTGACTAATTTGAGAAAGTTTCATGTAATTTGGATCATTGGTTCAATGGCAAAATGCATCTCAACTTTGAGATTAGCTAGTTTGACCACATTTTGACCGAAATTGAAAAGTTGTCAGAAAAAAATTGACAAAATTGAAAAAACAATATCCCACTTATTGATGTATCAATTCTCTTCTTCATCTCCTCTTCTTCCCCTTCTTCCCCGCCTCTCTCATGAATTTTCGATGTTCCCCCCTCATCATCATCTATATATCACCCCCCTCTCATGTTCGACGACCCTCGACACCTCGGCCGCCCTCTCGACACACCCACATACACATACATAGCCACATACATATTCATCTATGAATAAAAAAACATCATTTGATCATGTATGAACAATAAAAACATCATATCAATATTTACATATACATACACACATACATACGTACACATGACTAATAAACACTAAGCATCTACATTTGCGTCTATATATGTAAAAAAGCATCATATCATTTACATATACATACACATACATTCATATCAAAACACAAGTATTAACATATCAAAATGCTCCTACCTCTTGTTCAAAGATTGCCCAAAACATACAAAAAAGACAAAATGAACTCTAATACAAAAAATTTGTTCTTTATTTTGCAAAGGAGCTATATTCTCCCCATTCTTTTACACCCAAAAGATTACTCCACATAATTGATAGTACCCACAACCCATTCCACCAAAAACATTTGGTTCCATAGTTTAGAATTTTCAAATTTCATTCCATTCAAATTTGGACCAGATTCAAACTCCATGGTCAAAACCAAATTTAAATTGGTCCAAAAATTCTAAAACTTTGTCAGAATCTCTTTTATGCACCAACACCGCACCACAAAAATGTTGGAAATATGCCCTAGAGGCAATAATAAAATGGTTATTATTATATTTCCTTGTTCATGATAATTGTCTATTATTCATGCTATAATTGTGTTATCCGGAAATTGTAATACATGTGTGAATACATAGACCACAACATGTCCCTAGTGAGCCTCTAGTTGACTAGCTCGTTGATCAATAGATAGTTACGGTTTCCTGACCATGGACATTGGATGTCATTGATAATGGGATCACATCATTAGGAGAATGATGTGATGGACAAGACCCAATCCTAAGCCTAGCACTAGATCGTGTAGTTCATTTGCTAAAGCTTTTCCAATCTCAAGTATCTTTTCCTTAGACCATGAGATTGTGCAACTCCCGGATACCGTAGGAGTGCTTTGGGTGTACCAAACGTCACAACGTAACTGGGTGGCCATAAAGGTGCACTACGGGTATCTCTGAAAGTGTCTGTTGGGTTGGCACGAATCAAGACTAGGATTTGTCACTCCGTGTGACGGAGAGGTACCTCTGGGCCCACTCGGTAGGACATCATCGTAATGAGCTCAATGTGATCAAGGAGTTGTTCACGGGATGATGTGTTACGGGAACGAGTAAAGAGACTTGTCGGTAACGAGATTGAACAAGGTATCGAGATACCGACGATCGAATCTCGGGCAAGTATCATACCGATAGACAAAGGGAATTGCGTACTGGATTGATTGAATCCTCGACATCGTGGTTCATCCGATGAGATCATCGAGGAGCATGTGGGAGCCAACATGGGTATCCAGATCCCGCTGTTGGTTATTGACCGGAGAGCCGTCTCGGTCATGTCTGTGTGTCTCCCGAACCCGTAGGGTCTACACACTTTAGGTTTGGTGACGCTAGGGTTATAGAGATATTAGTATGCGGTAAACCGAAAGTTGTTCGGAGTCCCGGATGAGATCCCGGACATCACGAGGAGTTTCGAAATGGTCCAGAGGTACAGATTTGTATATAGGAAGTTCAGTTTCGGCCACCGGGAAAGTTTCGGGGTCACCGATATTGTACCGGGACCACCGGAAGGGTCTCGGGGGGTCCACCGGGTGGGGCCACCGATCCCAGAGGGCCCCATGGGATGAAATGGGAAGGGAACCAGCCCCTGGTGGGCTGGTGCGCCCCCATGGGCCTCCCCTGCGCCTAGGGTGGGAAACCCTGGGGGTGGGGGGCGCCCCACCTAACTTGGGGGGCAAGTCCTCCCCCTTGGCCACCGCCCCCTAGAGATTAGATCTCTAGGGCCGGCACCCCCCTAGGGCCCCTATATAAAGGTGGGGGGAGGGAGGGCTGCGCACCCTAGCCCCTGGCGCCTCCCTCTTTCCCCGTGACACCTCTGCCTCTCGCTGAGCTTGGCGAAACCCTGCCGAGATCCCCACTGCTTCCACCACCACACCGTCGTGTTGCTGGATCTCCATCAACCTCTCCTTCCCCCTTGCTGGATCAAGAAGGAGGAGATGTCTCTCCGCTCTGTACGTGTGTTGACCACGGAGGTGCCGTCCGTTCGGCGCTAGGATCATCGATGATTTGGATCACGACGAGTCCGACTCCATCAACCCCGTTCTCTTGAACGCTTCCACTCGCGATCTACAAGGGTATGTAGATGCACTCCCCTCTCCCTCATTGCTAGATGACTCCATAGATTGATCTTGGTGATGCGTAGAAAATTTTAAAATTCTGCTACGTTCCCCAACAGTGGCATCATAATCTAGGTCTATGTGTAGTATCTTGCACGAGTAGAACACAAAGTAGTTGTGGGCGTCGATTTGTCAATTCTCTTGCCGTTACTAGTCTTATCTTGATTCGGCGGCATCGTGGGATGAAGCGGCCTGGACCGACTTTACACGTACTCTTACGCGAGACTGGTTCCACCGACCGACATGCACTAGATGCATAAGGTGGCTGGCGGGTGTCTATCTCTCCCACTTTAGTCGGATCGGATTCGATGAACAGGGTCCTTATGAAGGGTAAATAGAAATTGGCACATCACGTTGTGGTTTTGGCGTAGGTAAGAAACGTTCTTGCAAGAAACCTATAGCAGCCACGTAAAAACTTGTAACAACAATTAGAAGACGTCTAACTTGTTTTTGCGGCATGTGCCTTGTGATGTGATATGGCCAAATGATGTGATGAATGATATATGTGATGCATGAGTTGATCATGTTCTTGTAATAGGAATCACGACTTGCATTTCGATGAGTATGACAACCGGCAGGAGCCATAGGAGTTGTCTTAATTTATTGTATGACATGCGTGTCATTGAAATTCGCCATGTAATTACTTTACTTTATTGCTAACCGTTAGCCGTAGTAGTAGAAGTAATAGTTGGGAGACAACTTCATGAAGACACAATGATGGAGATCATGATGATGGAGATCATGGTGTCCTGCCGGTGACGATGATGATCATGGAGCCCCGAAGATGGGGATCAAAAGGAGCGAAGTGATAATGGCCATATCATGTCACTATTTTGATTGCATGTGATGTTTATCATGTTTTTGCATCTTATTTTCTTAGAACGGCGGTAGCATATATAAGATGATCCCTCACTAAAATTTCAAGAAAGTGTTCCCCCTAACTGTGCACCGTTGCGAAGGTTCGTTGTTTCGAAGCACTACATGTTGATCGGGTGTGATAGATTCTAACGTTCGAATACAATGGGTGTAAGCCAGATTTATACAGCAATACACTTAGGTTGACTTGATGAGCCTAACATGTACAGATATGGCCTCGGAACACAAGAGACCAAAAGGTCGAACATGAGTCTTATAGAAGATACGATCAACATGGAGATGTTCACCGTTGATGACTAGTCCGTCTCACGTGATGATCGGACACAGACTAGTCGATTCGGATCATGTATCACTTAGATGACGAGAGGGATGTCTATCTGAGTGGGAGTTCATTATATAATTTGATTAGATGAACTTAATTGTCATGAACTTAGTCTAAAAGGTACATATCTATCTTGTAGATCAAATGGCCAACGCTAATGTTACCCTCAACTTCAACGCGTTCCTAGAGAAAAACAAGCTGAAAGATGATGGTAGCAACTATGCGGACTGGGTCTGTAACCTGAGGATTATCGTCATAGCTGCCAACAAATCTTATGTCCTTGAAGCACTGTTAGGTGACGCACCTATTCTCCCAGCACAGCAAGACGTTTTGAATGTTTGGCAGACACGCACCGATGATTACTCCTTCGTTCAGTGCGGCATGCTCTTCATCTTAGAACCGGGGCTCCAAAAGCGTTTTGAGCATCACAGAGCATATGAGATGTTCGAAGAGCTGAAAATGGTTTTCCAAGCTCATGCCCATATCGAGAGATATGAAGTCTCCGATAAGTTCTACAGCTGTAAGATGGAGGAAAATAGTTCTGCCAGCGAGCACATACTCAAAATGTCTGGGTTGCACAGCCGCTTGTCTCAGCTGGGGATTAATCTCCCAGATGATGCAGTCATTGACAAAATCCTTCAGTCGCTCCCACCTAGCTACAAGAGCTTTGTGATGAACTTCAACATGCAGGGGATGGAAAAGACCATTCCTGAGGTATATGCGATGCTGAAGTCAGCGGAGGCAGAG